AGTCTTCACTTATTTCATCCTTGCATGCAAGAAAAAGGAATTGGAAAGGCTTTTCTGTCAGGCAAGATTACAAGAGTTTTTGTGCATTTGCTGATCATTTTTCTTGGGTTTTTTTTTGTACTTTCTGTGAAGCTTTCCATTTCTGCGAAACCCAATGCTTTTTAATAAGTGAAGATTTATATTATGCTTATTATGCTGCCCAGGCCTGCATAGGTGGTCCAGTAAAAATAATGAACCGTAGTAGAAAAACCTCCAGGGAGAAGAAGAGCGATGTTCCCCATCTTTCTCACAACAAAAGTAATCCATCAAGGAACCAAAGCTATCTCACTGCGAAACCAGACACTAGAGTTTGATTGAAATGAGTTAAGATTTCATTTCATTTAAAATTGATTGGAATTCAATTGCCAGTTCTTTGACCCAAAGGAGATACTTATGACAGGATAACATTTGTTATAAACCATTGAAGGTTACCTAAGGTGACCCCTTATAAAGAGATTTCAAGAGATAATACCTGCATATATACGAAAGCCAGAAATTACATTTCTTTACATGCAAGTTGTATGTAATGTGTAAATAATTCTGGTACTTTTGCATCCTTGTTCCTAGTTTTAATGTTCTTCAGTAATTTAGAAATGCTTTAATTTATCAGGCAAAAGACTTCTGAGCCCTTCCAGACAGAACCTACATCTCAGGATCTGATCCCAGGTTTTCTGCTTTAAACTGGATTATATGAGTCTGCTCTGCCAGATAATCTGGGAAAAAACCAAAAACCTGGGATCAGGTCCTGAGATATAGGGCCTGCCTGGAAGGGCCCTCAGTGAAATCTGGAAAGATTTTATGCTAATAATGAATAAAAAATGGAGTCCCTAAATTTCTCCCTAGTTGTTCATGAGGAATGACAATTACTCTCAACTGCACTATGCATAATAATCCGTTCGTATTAGCTTTTCACCTTTCCTAGAAACAATAGATGCATGGAAGAATGAGTCCTTTAAATGGATGACATTAATTAACTAGCAACAGAAATGTCTTATTCTACATTAGATGACATTTGGCATTATCAGGCAGCTGTAAAGAAAAAACTGTTGCATTTTCCCTCTTATTTCAATTTGCTTTTTAAAAATAATTTTTGCTTTAAAGCAATAAGATTCACCTCACTGGTTTTCTTCTCAGCAAGAAATTGCTTCATTCTCCATATTCTTTTTTTAAAAAGGAAAACATATGTTCAATAGTTTGGTATTGCCAAAGCATTGTGATATCCTTTTGTCTTGAATTGAATCAATGTAGTAGACAACAGTATCATTGTATCGATAACTCCAATTACATGACTGAGCCACTTATGTGGCCTTTCACCTGGGCATACAGGACTTTTACCATCTAAGGCTAAGATCTTGGACATGGTTATCCATGCCATGGTAAGATTAAAACTAGATTACTGATAGTGAGGTCACCTGGATGGAAAAAGTATGCAAAGGGAGCTTGTTGCACCTTTGAGATTAACTGTGAGAAAGACGTTGGTAGCATAAGCTTTCATGGACCTAAGTCTGCTTCATCAGATCCATTGAGTAAAGTGCCTAGGACCAGACCTTTGTAGTTATGTGTGAGTAGCAACAAAAATGCAAAACTTGTGGGTATGGTGATGAGATGACAAGTTCAGTTTTAACTATGGTCGTTGGGAGACAAAGATTTAAAGCCAAGGTGAGTAGATATACATATGAATTTGGGGCCAGAGGGATTAGAATGTAGTGCCATCCAGGTGTTTTGGACTTCAACTCCCACAAGGATTGTAAAACATCAGAACACCCAGGTATCCCCTGGGCAACGTCCTTGCAGATGGCCAATTCTCTCACACCAGAAGCAACTTGCAGTTTCTCAAGTCACTCCTGGCTCGAAAAAAAAGTCTCACCTAGCAAAAGGAAGTCATTAAGAACTTCTGAGTCATTCGTTTATCTTGATAGGGCTTGTATTTGCTATGAACCTGATAATAGTATAACTTCCTAGAAGGAAACTTCGAAATTGTAACTCTGTAAAGCAGTTAGATCTTGAACAAACAACTGTAGTGACCAGCACTGAGGTGTGGCAAAGCAACTAAGGCAAAGTTTCTCTGGAGTTTCAGTGAGATGGATAGGATTGGCTCGACAGTGCAGTACTAACTTTTGCTTGCTTGTACTATTTAAAGCAATGCTTCTCAACCTGGGGTCCCCAGATGTTTTTGGCCTTCAACTCCCAGAAATCCTAACAGCTGGTATACTGGCTGGGATTTCTGGGAGTTGTAGGACAAAAACATCTGGGGACCCCAGGTTGAGAAGCACTGATTTAAAGGGTTAAAATATAGTCCTATATACAATTATCTGTATAGCAGATGCATTGCCATTAACAGAAATTAACTTTGTGCTATCAGTCACTTTAAACAGAAGGTGGGAATTACAATCCTCCTAATGTTGATGAACTATTGCTCCCATCATTCCTCAGTTTTTGCTGTGCTGACTAGGAATTCTGGAGGTTACAGTCCAGTAGCAACTAGATGGCTTCATGACACTCGCCTCAATTTTTCTTGTACAAAGGTGGTAAATGAACCAATTTTGTATCTTCCCAAATGACAATGACAATTTTCAATGCAGTTGCATGACCTAGTTGACATGTATAGATTTGGGTGGGCCAAGTGAGCCCCTCAAGGCTGTTTTTGTGGTCCTCTCTCCAGGCATGATGGAGAAAAAGAAAATGATTTGCTTTTCCTGGAAGCCTCGTTAGATGGCAATTTGTCTTTTCTCTCCCTGGGTTGATTAACTTTTTTTAAAAAAAAAAATCTTTTTTTCAATACCAGGAATGTACTTCTGATCACTTTAGGCTTGGTTTTAAGTTTAAGTACTCACACAGTTTGTAGGTGGTCCCAGGAAAAGAAATGAAGCCACCTGACCCACCAAAGTTGCCCAACCCAATAAGGCAGTCCCCAAGTTATGAACAAGATAGGGTCTGTAGGTTTGTTCTTAAGTTGAATTTGTATGTAAGTCAGAACAAGTACATTTTGAAGTGTTACTTCAGCCCCATGTGTGTGTGTGTTTTGGGTAGCATAGGCTAGGGCTAATACCCCTGTGGTGTCTGCTTTGCTGCGCCTCTGTTCAAAAGATCTTACTTCATTTTCTGTCCCTATGATCATTGGGTTTTGAAAAAAATGGCTTGTTGTGAAAACATGGATTGGTGAGGAAGCTTCAGTGGAGACACCCTTCTACCATAAAATTTAGGCCTGAATTTCCTTTCCAAGGGGTAGATTTCTCTCACTTCCTGTTGTATTACTCCTGTTCTTAACTATGAGTCATTTGTAAGTCAGATGTTTGTGACTCGGGGACTGCCTTTAATTGATACAGCTGAGAATGCATACATGTTCATTCATCCCTCTGCATATGCAGTTTTTACTTTTACAGATTTGATTATTTGATAATTTCATTAATGTTCTCTCTCCAGGAATTTCTGGGTCCTCCATTGTTACTATATGGTCAGCTTCCTCTGGTCATGCTGAAGGACCTAGGGATTTCTACAGAGAACACCTACCTCCCTGGAAATCTCTAGATCTTCCAGTACAATTCTATCAGCTTCTAGCAGAAACCAGTCATAGAACCATGCTGAAAGATCTAGACATTCTTAAAGAGGTATTTTCTCAATTTTAAAAGTAGCAGTTTCTTTATTCATGTTCAGAAGATTTCACCTCACTTTCTGTCCATGTGATAATTGGATTTTGAAAAATTTGGATTGCTGTGGAAACAAGGATTGTTGAGAAAGCTTCAGTGAAGAATGTTTTTCCCCATGATTAATTTTTCAAGAGTAAAAAAAATAATTTCTTTATAAATGGTTCCCCCCCCCCCTTTCATGTGAGTCCTTAAAGCCAGCGAATGTGGAGGAATAACACTTTTATCAATTTGTCCTTCTTTCGTTCCTATGCTAGTAACATGCTAGACTAGCATATCTCAACCTGGGGGTTGGGACCCCTGGGGGGGGGGTCACGAGGGGGTGTCAGAGGGGTCACCAAAGACCCTAGGAAAACACAGTATTTTCTGTTGGTCATGGGGGTTCTGTGTGGGAAGTTTGGCCCAATTCTATCATTGGTAGGGTTCAGAATGCTCTTTGACTGTTGGTGAACTATAAATCCCAGCACCTACAACTTCCAAATGTCAAGTCTATTTCCCCAAACTCCACCAGTGTACACATTTGGGTATATTGAGTATTTGTGCCAAGTTTGGTCCAGATCCATCATTGTTGAGTCCATCACTCACCGGATGTAGGTGAACTATAACTCCAAAACTCAAGGCGAATTCCCACTAAACAACTAGTTCAGGTGTGAAATAGGGAGAAATTTAGGGACTCCATTTTTATTTATTATGTGCATAAGATGTTTTCAGACAGGCCCTATATCCCAGGACCTGATCCCAGGTTTTCTATTTATCCCAGATTATCTGGCAGTGCGGACTCATATAATCCATCATTGGTGGAGTTCAGAACGTTCTTTGATTGTAGGTGAACTATAAATCCCAGCAACCGCAATTCCCAAATGACAAAATCAATCCCCCCACAACCCCACCAGTATTCACATTTGTACGTATCAGGTATTTGTACCAAATGTGGTCCCAGGAATGAAAATATATCTTTCATATCATATATTTAGATTATAATTCATAACAGTAGCAACATTACAGTTTTGAAGTTGCAACGAAAATAATTTTATGACTGGGGATCACCACAACAAGAGGAGCTATATGACGAGGTCACAGCATTAGGAAGGTTGAGAACCACTGTGCTAGATAATTTACAGAATATATAGATAACAATGAATGTTCTTTTTTCCCCTTCATTTATATATGTAAAGTTTAAAGTAAACAAGAAAGGGGAAAACACCCTGACCACCTGTGTAAATAGCCATATCCATAGCCTCAGTGGATGTTATCTTTCTCCTTTTTAATGACAACTGTCTGTTTTCTCTCTCTCTTTCTTTCTCTCTCTTCATGAAGTATATTTGGTGCTGTTCGAACGGGTGCTTATATGGTGTACATTTTGATGACCAAAGGACTAAAGCAGTCAGTTTGCGACCAGAGTTTTTACAATGGACCTGTCAGCAAATTCTGGGCTTATGCGTTTGTGCTAAGCAAAGCACCAGAACTAGGTGAGTACCTTCTATCCCTTTTTTTTCATTCCATGGGGTACATTTGGAGCAAAAGAGCAAGGTCGGGAAAAGCTTTCTGCTTAGCAATTGAAAAATGCTTTCTAAATGTTACACTCAGTCAGTTCATTAATCATCCAACCATTCCTCTCATATTTGCAATCCCAGTGGATTTTTCTCAGCTGAACAAAGCGGTAAAACATCAAAAAGCACAATGACAACCCAAATCCTTTGGGAAATATTTATCCTTAACCAATGCTGTTTTGTTTATTCAGATATTCATCAACAACACAAGAACATATTCACCAGTCCAGTCAATGTTCAATCCAGGCAGAAAATTTGATTCAGTGGTGCTCCACTCTTGATCTATTACTGCTACTGTTATTTATTCTGGAGTAGTTCCATGAAAATTGCCTAGATGATGATCAAACACAGCCTTCCCAGTAAAATCTTACTGTAGGAAAAAAAGAAAAAATAACTATTCAAGATATAAACTTTATCAAGTTCCTTGCACATAGTTCAGTTGGAACGCCAGCTTTTTATCATAGTGTAAGCGAATGTTTTAAACATCTTGGCTTCTAAAAATACATCTAGGCACTCAAATGTCTGGCAGTTTTATTGTGGAATTAACTGGCTACTGAATATCAGGTACAAGAACCTGAGGAATTCTGGGATTTGCAGTTTTATGGAGGAGTTTTTTTAGAATTCTCAACCACAGATCTCTCATGCCCCACCAGGCCCCAGGATTTCATAAGGCATTGCCACAGTATAGATAGTGTTTAGATGTGTGTTACAATTCTCACAGCTGAATCTAGGCCATTCCAAACTCACATGTGTTGCTAGTAGTAATGTGCACACTGTGCTACATTACTACCTGGTGAATGGACAAAAAGTTAAACATGAGCCAACAATGTCATGCGGTGGCAAAAAAAAAAAAGCCAATGGGCTTTTGGCCTGTATAAATAGGAGTACAGTGTCTAGATCATGCTACCCCTCTATTCTGCCTTGGTCAGACCACACCTGGAATCACACTGTGTCCAATTTTGGGCACTGTAATTGAAGGGAGATGTTGACAAGCTGGAATACGTCCAGCGGAGGGTGACTAAAATGATCAAGGGTCTGGAGAACAAGTCCTATGAGGAGTGGCTTAAAGAGCTGGGCATGTTTAGTCTGCAGAAGAGAAGGCTGAGAGAAGACATGATGAGGGCCATGTATAACTATATGAGGGGAAGTCATAGGGAGGAAAGAACAAGCTTGTTTTCTGCTTTCCTGGAAACTAGGATGCAGAACAATGGCTTCAAACTACAGGAAAGGAGATTCCACCTGAATATGAGGAAGAACTTCCTAACTGTGAGTGCTGTTCAGCAGTGGAACTCTCTGTCCCAGAGTGTTGTGGAGGCTCCTTCTTTGGAGGCTTTTAGACAGAGGCTAGATGACCATCTGTCGGGGGTATTTTGAATGTGATTTTCCTGCTTCTTGGCAGGGGTTGGACTGGATGGCCCATGAGATCTCTAGCAACTCTATGATTCTATGAATGGCCAACTGCATTCACCTATAGAGGCCAAACACAATGAGTTGAGAGAAGTCACTGAAAAACGTGCTACAGTGCTTCTTTTGTACAAGTCTATGCAAATTGAATTGGAATTCTTGAGGTCACTAGGGACCTCATCACATTGATGCGGGGCAGCGGGGAGATTCACCACGCAGTGTGGCAAATCCATAGGGCATTGTCCCATGCCCCACATTGCCCGCTGAACCCTTATCTCATCCCACAGGGGGAAGCATTGCCATCCGTTCTTCTTTATGGAACATGGGAAGCCTCCTGTGTTCCCAGGGAAGCCTCCTTCCATTCTGCCAGGATACTTCCTTTATGGAGGCTTAGGCCATGTGATGGCGTCCAGCAGTCTCCAAGGAGGAAACATCCTGGTAGCATGCTAGGGCACTCATTTTCCTACATGTGATGAGGTCATAGGAAAGCTTCCTGTCATCTGTAGCACTCATTCTTTCCTTTAAATGTTACATAAATCTTCATTTACTGCATATATTTGTGTGTAAGTCGAGGGCAGGTTTTGGGGCCAAAATTATGGATTTTAAATAATCAAAGGTTGTTCTGTGCATAATGGAAAGCTCTAGCACTGCCTCAGGTGGGCAGCTCCCCCTGGTGGTCACAACTTTTATACCTAGGGATTCAAAAAGGTAAACAGTGGCACAGTGGCAGAGATCATACAGAGGATTGCAGCATCTTTTAGATTCTCCCAGCACAGCGCTTAGTAATTAGTTGGAAATGCACCAAACAGGTTACACATAAAAATGCAATTGAAATTGGGGTATGATGGTTTGCATCATTTCCCATGTTTTTAAGTATGTTTTTTTCAGAGAAACAGCATGTTAAATCCACAGTATTTGAATGCACATTAAGAACTGATTTATCAGATAATCACATTAGTGAAAATATAAACACATCACAGGAGTGAGGACCCATCTTCACTGACTATTTAATGCAGTTTCAAACTGGTATTGAAGAAAGTGGTTACATAGGAAATCCTGGAAACAGTTTGAGATCTGCATGGGGATTACACAAACCACAGAGCACTAATATACATTAAGACCTTTGTTTTGTACACTTTCATGTCAGTGTTGTTAAGCAGCCGTGGTTTAAAGTTAGTTTAGAACTGCATTAGATGGTCAGTGTGGATGGAGCCTGAATGTATGCTTTTATCTGTCTTGGGTAGTATAGCCCATCATTAGATCTTACTGCTTCAGTTCAAATATATTAATGGATACAATTTGAAAAATCCATCCTGTTAAAATTGGAGTTTGCATTACCACTTAGGATTTTAGAAAGAATAGCAGGATGACCGAGTTAGGATAGGTTAGTTAATTTTCAGTCTTTCTGTACAATTTGGCATGTTTAAATCTTAACATAGTTTTCACATACCAGACAATTTCAGAGGAGCATCTCACAACTGAGATGTTTCACGTCCATGACCCATCTTTGTGATTAGTCTAGTTTCCCATGTTCAGATGAAATCAGGAAAACTAACCACTCAGAACTTAGATGTTCAACAAGAAGTTTCCCACTTACAAAAGGGCAATTTGTTTACACATCAGTCAAAGATTGACTACCTTTTACACATGTATTTGTACATCTGTAGGTTACAAGTCCCCATTTGGGAAGGAAAAGTTTGATGGTGGTGGGTGGTGGTGATGATCATGAAGAATAATACTGAATAATAATAATAATAATAATAATAATAATAATAATAATAATAATAAAAATAAAAATAATAATAAATATGTGTGGTATCCTGGTAGGCACAACATTGTAAGTTAGACCTGCAACTACATTAATATCTCCTGTTCATAGTTATGATTGTAGTACCATTGCCATAATCTAAATACCCCTGAAGCCCACTTGAGAGCCAGTCACTTATCCCAAGCGATAGAGTTTTGCAGTGCAGACAAGTGGGCAAACACAGGATGATGTGACCAGTTTTCTCCCATACAAACAAAGTTATTTGTCACATTGTCAGGAGGAGGCTAGCCATGATATTCAATGCCCCATTTATCAGCACCACAGAACACAATTTCTCTGAATAGCTTTAAAGATGGGTTTCAGGGGTTGGAAAAGTTCATATTGTAGCTATATTTTTGATACAGGATCTCCACCATATGTTGTAACTATAAGGGTCATCTATGATGGAATATATTGGCAAAATTAATTTTAATGAGCTCAGAGAGCTTTGGATCAATATGCATTGTCTTCATCTATATTTAACTACCATTACACTTGTGCTAACATTGCATGAATAACTATTATCTATGTTTAGATATATAACAGGTTATTAGAATATGTCTTCAATTGATATGTTGTTTCCATCGGACAGTAAGGTACTTTCCATATAATTTCATTCCACGTGGAATCAAAAGGCAGTTAGAAGGCATGGCATTAGAATGGATCCAAAATCGATCAAAATTGATACTTATTTTGTCAATACATTAAGCAAAAATCATAGAATCAAAGAGTTGGAAGAGACCTCATGGGCCATCCAGTCCAACCCCATTCTGCCAAGAAGCAGGAATATTGCATTCAAATCACCCCTGACAGATGGCCATCCAGCCTCTGTTTAAAAGCTTCCAAAGAAGGAGCCTCCACCACACCGGGGCAGAGAGTTCCACTGCTGAACGGCTCTCACAGTCAGGAAGTTCTTCCTCATGTTCAGATGGAATCTCCTTTCTTGTAGTTTGAAGCCATTGTTCCATGTCCTAGTCTCCAGAAGCAGAAAACAAGCTTGCTCCCTCCTCCCTGTGGCTTCCTCTCACATATTTATACATATCCCTCTCAGCCTTCTCTTCTTCAGGCTAAACATGCCCAGCTCCTTAAGCCGCTCCTCATAGGGATTGTTCTCCAGACCTTTTATCATTTTAGTCGCTCTCCTCTGGACACATTCCAGCTTGTCAATATCTCTCTTGAATTGTGGTGCCCAGAATTGGACACAATATTCCAGATGTGGTCTAACCAAAGCAGAATAGAGGGGTAGCATTACTTCCTTAGATCTAGACACTATGCTCCTATTGATTTTTTTGCCGCCACATCACATTGTTGGCTCATGTTTAACTTGTTGTCCACGAGGACTCCAAGATCTTTTTCACACGTACTGCTCTCGAGCCAGGCGTCACCCATTCTGTATCTTTGCATTTCATTTTTTCTGCCAAAGTGGAGTATCTTGCATTTGTCACTGTTGAACTTCATTTTGTTAGTTTTGGCCCATCTCTCTAATCTGTCAAGATCGTTTTGAATTCTGCTCCTGTCTTCTGGACTATTGGCTATCCCTCCCAATTTGGTGTCGTGTGCAAACTTGATGATCATGCCTTCTAGCCCTTCATCTAAGTCATTAATAAAGATGTTGAACAGGACCGGGCCCAGGACGGAACCCTGCGGCACTCCACTTGTCACTTCTTTCCAAGATGAAGAGGAAGCATTAGTGAGCACTCTCTGTGTTCATCCACTTAACCAATTACAGATCCACCTCACCGTAGTTTTGCCTAGCCCACATTGGACTAGTTTCCTTGCCAGAAGGTCATGGGGGACCTTGTCGAAGGCCTTACTGAAACCCAGGTACGCTACATCCACGGCATTCCCCGCATCTACCCAGCTTGTAGCTCTATCGAAGAAAGAGATCAGATTAGTCTGGCATGACTTGTTTTTGATAAATCCATGTTGACTATTAGCGATGACTGCATTTGTTTCTAAGTGTTTGCAGACCGCTTCCTTAACAATCTTTTCCAGAATCTTGCCCGGTATCGACGTGAGGCTGACCGGACGGTAGTTGTTTGGGTCATCCTTTTTTCCCTTCCTGAAGATTGGGACCACATTGGCCCTCCTCCAATCTGCTGGAACTTCTCCCGTTCTCCAAGAACTCTCAAAGATGGTTGCCAATGGTTCCGAAATGACTTCCGCTAGTTCCTTCAATACTATGGGGTGTAGTTGATCTGGCCCTGGGGACTTGAACTCATTAAGAGCGGCCAGGTATTCCTGGACGACTTCTTTCCCAATTTGGGGTTGGATGTCCTCCAATCCCTCATCCACTCCATCTTGCTGAGGTTGAAGACTCTCTTTTTGTGAGAAGACCGAGGCAAAGAAGGCATTAAGTAGTTCTGCCTTTTTCCTATCCCCTGTCAGCATTGCCCCATCTTCTCCTCGAAGAGGTCCTATCGCCTCCTTGTTTTTCCTTTTTCTACTGACATAAGAATAGAAGCCCTTTTTATTGTTTTTAATGTCCCTGGCAAGTCTGAGCTCGTTTTTTCCTTCAGCCTTGCGGACCTTTTCCCTACAGGTGTTGGCCATTTGTTTGAATTCTTCTTTGGTGATTTCTCCCTTTTTCCACTTCTTGTGCATGTCTCTTTTGTGTCTTAGCACAGTTAGAAGTTCTTTGGACATCCATTCTGGCTTCTTTGCACTTGTCCTATTTTTTCTCTTTGTTGGCACGGTTTGCAATTGCGCATTGAGTATTTCACTCTTGAGAAATTCCCATCCATCCGTAACTCCCTTGTCTTTTAGTATCTGTGTCCACGGAATGCTGCTCAGCGTTTCCTTCATTTTTTGGAAATCAGCTCTCTTAAAGTCCAAAATGCGGGTTTGACTTGTCTTAGTTTCGGCCTTCCTTTGTACCTCAAATTGCAGGAGCACATGGTCACTTGCCCCTAAGGATCCTACCACTTCGACCGCATCGATCAGGTCATCCGCATTTGTTAGGATGAGATCAAGAGTAGCCAATCCCCTTGTTGCCTCTTCTACCTTCTGGACCATGAAATTGTCTGCAAGGCAAGCGAGGAATACTCTTGGCCGAGTTTGTTTTCCAGCAAATATTGGGATAGTTGAAATCGCCCATGACTACTACATCTCTTCTCTGTGCCTGTTTGGTCAACTGTTGGCAGAAGACTTCATCAAGTTCTTCCTCCTGGCTTGGGGGTCTGTAGTAGACGCCTACAACGACATCTTTTTGAGTCCCAGTTCCCTTGATTCTTATCCAGATGATTTCAAGCTGGTTTCCCAGATTGCTGTCTTGAATTTCTTCTGCAGCATAAGAGTTTTTGACATATAAGGCTACTCCGCCTCCTCTCCCCTTTGTTCGGTTTCTGTGAAAGAGGTTATACCCCTCGATATCTACATTCCAGCGATAGGAGTCATCCCACCAGGTTTCAGTGATCCCTATGATATCATATTTGTGGTGTTGTGCTAAAAGTTGGAGTTCGTCTTGTTTATTTCCCATGCTCTGTGCATTAGTGTAAAGACATGTGAGCCCCTGAGATCTTCCCTTGAGCTGTTTAATTGGGATTATTGTGCTTTTGGTACTTGGTCCTTGTTGTGTTTGTGCAGCCCTCCGTTTAGCCTTCTGGCGATTCCCAGACATTATGGGTAAAGTAGTGTTCGCAAGGCTGTTGTCCCCCTCCCCCGGTGGACCTAGTTTAAAGTGCGTCTAATGAGGTTTGCGAGTCTGTGAGCAAAAAGGTGTTTTCCTACTTGTGTGAGATGCACCCCATCCCTTGCCAGTAGGCCATCCTCCTGGAAAAGCAGGCCATGGTTGAGGAAGCCAAAGCGTTCCTCCTGACACCATTTTCTAAGCCAGCCATTGACCTGTACTATTTTTCTGGCTCTTGTGGGTCCGTGTCTTACAACAGGGAGGAGGGATGAAAAGACCACCTGTACATTACATTCTTTTAGCTTTGCTCCTAGAGCTCGAAAATCATTTGTGATCTTTTGAAACGTATGCCTTGCAGTATCATTGGTTCCTACATGAATCAACATGAGGGGAGGACGGTGATAGGGCTTGAGGAGCCTGGTGAGCCTCTGAGTGATATGGTGTATTTTTGCCCCCGGTAGGCAGCATATTTCTCGAGCCATCCCATCCGGTCTGGAAATGACAGCTTCCGTTTCTCTAAGGAGGGAGTCGCCTACTACCAAGACCTGTTTACTTTCGGGAATGACAGGGCCCCTTTTGTGCAATGTAGTGTGTAGGTCTCCAGAAAAGTGATCCTGTTGGTGTGAATTGTGTAGGTGAAAAGTGTTGTCCTCCTCCTCGACATCCCCGGTGCATTCGTCAAGGACAATCCATTGAGATTCGTCCAAGAGCCTATGGTTCTCCTGTATGTGTTCCTGTTGCACCTGGTCTATGGTTGGGGATGGTACACCTGCAGGATTGTGCAAGTGTGAATGTTGTGAAGTGTTGTCCCAGTCAGGGCTATCCCCTGCACACTGATCAAGGATGAGCCACTGATCAGTATCTAAGCCATTCTGGTCTTCCCCAAGATGTTGTGTTTCTTGGTCAGGTGAGTTGTGTGAGAATTTGGAATCTATTGTGTAACTGCAGCTGAGCGAAAGTATTCTGAGGAGGCTTCCGGGTCCTATGTGTCCTTCTAAGGGTGACATTTCTCCAAGCCTGAGGGTTGTCCACATCTGAGGTGCTGTTCTCTTGAGCCTCCCCGTAATGTTGGTGTGATATGGGCTGCGTGTCTAGGACAGTGTGGTGTGTGGTGTCTAAGAACAGCTCAAGTTCCTGAATGTCCTTAAGGGTCTTAATACGGTCCTCGAGTTGTCGGATCCTGTGTTCCATGTGAGTGATCTGTTTACACTTGGGGCAGATGTAATTGAGTAATTGTAGTGTGAAAAAGCTGAACATGCCACAGCTTGTGCATGAGACGGGAAGTTTTCGTGTTTGTTCCATCTGGAGGTTGCTAATTACCTCCTCTTGGTGTGTGTTTTATGTTGTTGTCTGTATGCAGGGGTGAAAGTATAGGTTACTGAGTGTACTGGTTTATATAGGATAACCAGGAAGCCCCGCCTCTCAAACAAAGCAGCACTGAAAGCAGTTAAATTTAAACAAAGCTTATCCTGAAGCAGAAGGAAACAAAATGGATTCTTGCTTCCTCAACTTCTGTGGAAAGCCCAGCTGCCCCTTGGGTTCAGATGCTGGTTTATATAGGATAACCAGGAAGCCCCGCCTCTCAAACAAAGCAGTTAATTTTTAAACTCAGGAAGCCCCGCCACTCAAACAAAGCAGTTAATTTTTAAACTCAGGAAGCCCCGCCTCTCAAACAAAGCAGTTAATTTTTAAACTCAGGAAGCCCCGCCTCTCAAACAAAGCAGCACTGAAAGCAGTTAAATTTAAACAAAGCTTATCCTGAAGCAGAAGGAAACAAAATGGATTCCTGCTTCCTCAACTTCTGTGGAAAGCCCAGCTGCCCCTTGGGTTCAGACTGGTTTATATAGGATAACCAGGAAGCCCCGCCTCTCAAACAAAGCAGTTAATTTTTAAACTCAGGAAGCCCCGCCTCTCAAACAAAGCAGCACTGAAAGCAGTTAAATTTAAACAAAGCTTATCCTGAAGCAGAAGGAAACAAAATGGATTCCTGCTTCCTCAACTTCTGTGGAAAGCCCAGCTGCCCCTTGGGTTCAGACGCTGGTTTATATAGGATAACCAGGAAGCCCCGCCTCTCAAACAAAGCAGTTAATTTTTAAACTCAGGAAGCCCCGCCTCTCAAACAAAGCAGTTAATTTTAAACTCAGGAAGCCCCGCCTCTCAAACAAAGCAGCACTGAAAGCAGTTAAATTTAAACAAAGCTTATCCTGAAGCAGAAGGAAACAAAATGGATTCCTGCTTCCTCAACTTCTGTGGAAATGACCCAACAATTCCGATATTGTGACACACTGTGATCCAAAGAACACTGCTAATGGGTCTTAAAATTGTTGCCTAAATCTTGATATTAAACCCAACTAGAACCATGGGATCATTTGAATTTACCCATTTGTTAACTACCATTCAACTATTGATCAAATGTGTCTATTCTAGTTGAAACTGGGTTGTTGTAGGTTTTTTCGGGCTATATGGCCATGTTCTAGAGGCATTTTTCTCCTGATGTTTCGCCTACATCTATGGCAAGCATCCTCAGAGGTACTGAGGTAGTTGAAACTGTTCAACAAGAAGCCACCCCGTATATTATATTATTGTTTAAACCACACATTTGCTTTGCCTCTAACACTGTTCTTCTCATTTTTTTATCTTTGCCAGGAGATACAATATTTATTATTCTTAGGAAACAGAAGCTCATCTTTCTCCATTGGTACCACCACATTACTGTACTGCTGTATTCCTGGTACTCTTATAAGGACATGGTGGCTGGTGGTGGCTGGTTTATGACCATGAACTATGGTGTGCATGCGGTCATGTACACATACTACGCCCTGCGGGCTGCTGGCTTCAGAGTGTCACGCAAGTTTGCCATGTTTATCACTTTGTCGCAGATTACCCAGATGTTCGTGGGATGCATTATCAACTACCTAGTTTTTGCCTGGATGCAACAAGGCCAATGCCACTCTCATGTTTCAAACATTGTCTGGTGTTCCCTAATGTACCTCAGCTACTTTGTGCTCTTCTGCCATTTCTTTTTTGAGGCATACATTGGCAAAGCAAGAAAAGCAAGGAAGGCCGAGTAAAGCTAGAAAACAAGACAGAAGCTGCCGCTCAGGTCATCCACAAAACCAACGAACACAAAGGAAAAAAAGGCACAAGGAAACATTTTATGTATGGTGCAACTAAAACCCAGCAGCCAAGGAACAGCTAGGCTTGTTCAAACCAGTAAGTTTATGATCCTGTCATGGTGAGGGCTCACTGAGTGATCTCAAAAGGCTGCTGTAAGATATTTTCCTTCTTGCATCTGTCTGCTCTTAAAACACACACATTTTTTTTAAAAAAAGAAAGCAAAAGCAAATGAAGATAAGGATTTTGCAAAATAAAAGATTAAAACATCTTGTTTCCCTGAGCATAGATGACTTTTATTAAAAAGAAGTAATTATTTATATATCCTTTCTAACTTTGTTTTTTTAAAATTTAGAACATGAACCAAATTTAAGCAGAAGGAACATGACAATTTGGAGCTGCCTTGTATCCATGTCAGAGGATCTGGCCTTTTACTTTCTACTCTGACTAGCAGCAGTTCTCCAAAATCTCAGACAGTTGCCCTGCAACTTGAGGTCTCATGGTTACAGAACGGAGTAGTCCAGAGGCGAAACCTGAAACCTTCTGCATACTCCTTTGGGTGAGCTTTGCCCCCTTCAATTACCACCAGTGTTTTTTGCAGCAACAAGCAAAACCCTTTCTCCTGAAAAGAGTTGTACACTAAAAAGTCCCAGTGGGAAACTGAAAGGTTAATCCTGGGTGTCTGTTCTAGGTAGCCATTATTCCACTGAAAGAATAAATGGAGAAGAATTAGTGGAGATCTTGTGTGCACATTCTGTATACTATCCTGGAGAAGATCTGGTGTGCCAACTAAAGATGTGATATGAGATACTGATCTAGGATTAGCTATTGTTGAGATGCATATCAGACAATTTGTTCAAGTGCATTTTCTTGTTTAAAAGCAAGTCACAGAAGAGTTTAAGATGCAAGCAACACATCTTGCTTGGGGTTAAAAAAATAAATGAGAGCAAGATGGAGAAATGAAGGGGCTAAATTATAGACGGTATATCAGAGCAAACTGCCTCTCAAAGTGCTCTACGATTCTTCCCAAAGGGCACCATTGTTCCCAAGACCAGTTTTAGCATATTGTTTCAGGGGCAAAAAATATGGTTGCTGTGGGCCTGCTGTGTTGTAATACATTGTCAACAACACCAATCTAAAGTCAGTTGCATGAGCTAGGTCGGTGTGGTTCATGCACTGGCATGCTGGACAAATTCTGAGTGTATATCCACAGCACTCAGTCCAAAGCCATCTCTTGAAATGCAAATATTACAGTGGGGTTGGTTTTTGAAAGAAACACAAGTGCACAAGAGCTCTGTGCTTGGGGTGGCTTCCCTTTTTCTTCTGGCTCTTGACCCCTGCCATAATTCCCAATTCAAGATCAAGAAATTATTGTCACTAAGAGAACCTGTGGTGTGTCTGTGTGGACATGTGTGCCTGCAAGTCTACCATATAACCCAAACCATCTACAAGGAAAGGTGTACGGAAAACATCACTTTCTGTTCCTAACAAATGAATGCAAGCAAGACTCCAATAGCCATGAGTCAAAGAGCCATCACAGACAGAAGAAAGCACTAGCTGCCCTAAGCACAACACAGCCCTGACGTTACAGCATTAAGTGCAATTTGAGTGAAAGGTGCAAAGATTTAATGGAAAATCTAAATATCTTTAGAGAGGTTTTAGTGTTGGGTAGAAACTTCAGGGAAGACAACCCTGTGGAGTGGAAGATGTTTTATATTTTTATGAACTTAAAAGAATAGATATTTGCAACCTTAATAGCATTCTGCAGGACTTTATGTGACTTTAGGTAACACTGTGCTTCTGCGTTTGCCTCACAAGCAATGCAAAGATGTTTAAAGTGCCCTCCTCTGGTCACTTGGAGATATTACAAAGGAAGACATAACTTGGCATCATCCTGCTCAAAGTTTTAAATGGGGGGAAGCTTGACTGGAGTAATTGTGTTGCAACGAATTAACTCTAATGTCCAGAGAGAACTATTCCTATTTTAGAAACTGAACCTGTAGAAAGAAAAATACACTGTAGCATTCTTGATCGCTCAAAGAGACACCTGGTTCTTTGGTCAGCTGCAGATACAAGGACAAAATATTTCACTCTTAACCTCAGAGAATTAGCTGAAAAGAGCCATATTTTCTACAAGGAAAAAGTAGATTGTATTATCTGTAAGATTTCAGTCCTTACAAAGCCAAATAAAATGTGTAAACGTTCCTAGTACTTCAAAGAAACAAGTATGTAAACTTGATGTTATAACTGTGTTAACATAGTACTCTCAATTGTATCAGTTTGGTAGTTTAAACAGTTAGAAGAGGAACCAATTAAGAACCGCTGTTTTACATAGAAAGTCATACATGCCTATAAGCTACACCCCATTAACCACCTGTTATGTGAATTGTCCAAAATTTAAGCTGAGAGGCAGAATCACTCTTCTTTGTTCCGGGTATTGCAAAATGTCAGCTTTCTTGCTTTAATCCGAGACTGTACAATACAATGTATTTCCCCCCTAACTTTAGATTCATCTCTGTTGTCCGTCATTCATAGCACAGAGCTGATGTAATATCCAGTTAGACATAACAAGGGCTTAAATGTCTCATGGTGTGCAGTAAGACTGCTACATTCTGTATTATGTGAGTGGTGTTTTTAAGGGAAGGAGGACCAATGAAAAAGCTCTCTGAGGCTTAAATCATGACTGGAAAAAAAAAGACAAAGAGTTTATCTTGGTCTTGTTTAAGTTGTAGATGTTCTGCCAGTGTTATACAGCACCAGAAGAACAGCAAGCTGTTACATTCAGTAGAACATATGACATGACCTTAATTTATAGAACTCCTGTATGAATGGAAATGTTAATTAAAATGTAAACTATGTCATTTTTACAGTTTGGGGAGTAGATTATACTCTACGATAAGCCTTTAACAAAAAAAAACATCTCCCTCCTTCCTCCAACCTGCAGTATTTGAAGCAAGCCAAAATCAGTTATTATAGAAATGCAAAATTATTTGGGAGCAATAGTAAGCAATTCTCTGTTGTGCCATTTATTTTGTGTCTCTCATTTCTCTTTGTTTTTGTGCAAGCTGATCTCCCGGATCTTTCTCGGATCAGTTTTCTCTCTTTCCCATCTCTCTGTTTGGAAATAAACGGAAAAGGCATTATAGAAGGGAATTGAAGAACTGTGTTATATTTTTTTCTCTGAAACCTAATGTGGTCGACTGTGTTGGCTGTACATTGGGGTTGCAGCCCTTTCAATACTTATTTAGACAGTGGGCCCTCCACATAAGCTGAGATTAGGGGCACAGGACCCACAAAAAAGTTGAAGTGACACTTTAAAGCAGAAGTCCTCAAACGTTTTAAACAGAGGGCTGGTTCACGGTCCCCCAGACTGTTGTGGGGGCAGACTATAGTTTTAAAAAAGCATGAACAGATTTCTATGTGCACTGCAAGTATCTTATTTGTGGTGCAAAGAAAACATGAAAGAACAATACAATGTTTAAAATGAAGAACAATTTTAACATAAACATAAAACATAAAATTACCAGTATTTCAGTGGGAAGTGTGGGCCTGCTTTTGGCTGATGAGATAGTCAAGTTAATTAGGATTGTTGTTGTTATTTATTATTTATTTTATTTATTTATTTATTACTGCGCTTGTATACCGCCGTTTCTCAGCCTACATTGGCGACTCAACGCGGTTTACAACATTACAATAATCAACAATATTCAAGATAAAAAGCATAAAAAAGCATAAAAACACATACATAATATACAATATTGGGCCACCAATATCGAACCAATGCATCTCTTAGTTAAAAACGCAGTCCAATTTCATCGTCTGTGATTACCAGTCCTTGATCGTCAGATTCGTTGCACCGTGTTAACCGAATGCTTGTTCGAACATCCATGTCTTCAGTCTTTTTTGAAACGCCACCAGCGAGGGGGCTGATCTTACCTCTATGGGAGGGCGTTCCAAAGCCGAGGGGCTACCACAGAAAAGGCCCTGTCTCTCGTCCCCGCCAGCCGCACCTGTGAAGCAGGCGGGATAGAGAGCAGGGCCTCCCCAGAAGATCTTAGGGTCCTGGTGGGCTGATAGGCGAGATACGTTCGGATAGATAAGTTGGGCCAGAACCGTTTAGGGCTTTAAAGGCCAGCCGCCAGCACTTTGAATTGGCCCGGTAGCAAATCGGCAGCCAGTGGAGCTGGTCAGCAGAGGAGTTGTGTGCTCCCTGAGTGCCGCTCCTGTTAGTAATCTGGACGTTGGACTATTGGAGCTTCCGAGCCGTCTTCAAAGGCAACCCCACGTAGAGAGCGTTGCAGTAGTCAAGACGGGATGTAACCAGAGCGTGGACTACCGTGGCCAAGTCAGACTTCCCAAGGTACGGTCGCAGTTGGCGCACAAGTTTTAACTGTGCGAATGCTCCCCTGGTCACCGCCGAAACCTGGGGTTCAGGCTCAGCGATGAGTCCAGGATCACACCCAAACTGCGAACCTGCGTCTTCAGGGGGAGTGCGACCCCGTCTAACACAGGCTGTAACCCTATACCCTGTTCGGCCTTGCGACTAACCAGGAGTACCTCTGTCTTGTCTGGATTCAATTTCAATTTGTTCGCCCCATCCAGACCGTCACAGCGGCCAAGCACCGGTTCAGGACCTCGACAGCCTCCTTAGTAGCAGGTGGAACGGAGTGACAGAGTTGGACATCATCCGCGTACAGATGACATCGCCCGAAACTCCGGATGATCTCTCCCAGCGGCTTCATGTAGATGTTAAACAAAATGGGAAATAGTATAGAGCCCTGAGGAACTCCACAAGACAAAGGTTGTGGAGTTGAGCAGGTATCTCCCAGTAACACCTTCTGAGACCGACCCTCGAGGAATGAGCGGAGCCACTGCAGAACAGTACCTCCAAGACCCATCCCCGCGAGGCGTCCCAGAAGGATACCGTGGTCGACGGTATCGAAGGCCGCTGAGAGGTCGAGCAGCACCAACAGGGACACACTCCCCCTGTCGAGCTCCCGGCGCAGATCATCGACTAAGGCGACCAAAGCTGTCTCGGTACCATGCCCCGGCCTAAAGCCAGACTGTGCCGGGTCCAGATAATCCGTGTCTACCAAGAATGCCTGGAGTTGTGAGGCCACCACACGTTCCAGACTTTGCCCAAAAAGGGGAGATTGGAAACAGGCCGATAGTTGACGAATTGAGTGGGGTCCAGTGATGGTTTCTTCAACAGCGGTTTTATCACAGCTTGCTTTAAGCTGGCTGGAATTTTGCCCTCCCGAAGGGAGGCATTAACCACCACCTTCACCCACTCGGCCAATCCCCCTCTGGCCTCCTTCAGAAGCCAGGATGGGCAGGGGTCTAGGATGCATGTGGTAGCTCTCATTCCTCCAAGCACCTTGTCCACATCCTCGGATTGAACCAATTGAAATGAATCCATCAAAATTGGACAAGCAGATGCTCGTGTTACATCCTCAGAGACTGCCGTTAATATGGTATCCAGTCCAGAGCGGATCAAAGCGACTTTGTCTGCAAAGAACTGAGCAAAAGCTTCACAGCGAGCTGCCGAGTCATCAGGGCACCCATCCTGAGTGGTGGGTTTTAACAAGCCTCTGACAACTCGGAACAGTTCAGCCGGACGGTTCTTTGCAGACGCAATAGTGGCCGCAAATAAAGTCTTCTTTGCGGCTTTTATTGCCGCGGCATATGCCCTTAGAAAGGACACAAACCGTGTTCGAGTTGGCTCGCTCGGATCCGAACGCCACACGCTCTCTAGTTCCCTTTTCTTTCGCTTCAACGCTGCCAGCTCCTCGGTAAACCAAAGGGCTGGTTTAGCTCGGCTACTTGAGAGGGGACGTTCTGGAGCGATCGTGTCTATTGCCCTAGTCATCTCCCCATTCCAGAGAGCGACCAGAGCATCAACAGGATCACCACCCGAGGTGGCGGGAAATTCCCCAAGAGCCGTCAGGAATCCATCCGGATCCATAAGCCTCCTGGGGCGGACCAGCTTAATGGGTCCTCCACCTCTGCGGAGGTTAGGGGGTGCAGTGAGTCTAAAGCTGACCAGGTGGTGGTCGGTCCATGGCAACGGAGAGATGGATAACTCCTCAACACCGCCACCTTCCTCCCATCCCTGGCAGAAAACCAAGTCCAATGTATGTCCAGCACTGTGGGTGGGGCCAGATACCTGTTGGGACAGCCCCAAGGTTGCCATGGTAGACATGAAGTCCTGAGCCGCTCCCGATAAGGTAGTCTCGGCATGGACATTGAAGTCCCCCAGCACAAGCAGCCGTTGGGACTCCAATGCCAGGTCCGAGACCACCCCCGCTAGCTCAGGCAGGGAGACTGTAGTGCAGCGAGGTGGACGGTACACTAACAGAATCCCTAATCTGTCCCGGTCACCCACCCTCAGGTGGACGCATTCAAAATTTGTTGACTGCGGGATGGGGGCCCTGGTCAGAAGAATGGAATCTCTATAGACCACTGCAACTCCGCCTCCCCGCCCTCTGGATCTCGGTTGGTGCTGCAGAGAAGCCTGGTGGGCAAAGCTGGGTTAAATTTACACCTCCTGCTTCGTCCAACCAGGTCTCTGTGATGCACGCCAGATCTGCCCGTTCATCCAGGATTAAATCCTGGATGAAAGTTGTTTTGCCGTTGACAGATCTGGCGTTCAACAGCACCACTTTCAATTTGGAGGGACCGCCATCCTGGTTACACCAACTTACCATATCAGGAGACCGATTTGGAATTACTAATGTTGTTCCACGTTCCCTAGGCCGAATTAGAAGGTCTCCTTTTCCCGTATCTCCCCCTCCCCACCACGACTTCTATGGGGGCTCCCCGGTTAACGGAAGCCTCTCCCTCCTCCATGACGCATTCAGCAGCCATAGTATCAACCCATAATTCATTGTTGACTGTTTGATATATTATAGCTTTAAATTGCCATAGTCTTGCCTTCCATTCATTTCCCGCTCCTATTATGTTATACTGTGTGCCTTCAAGTCATTTCAAACTTAGGGCAATCCTCAGTCTGAAGTTTAGGGCAGGGGCCAGGTAAATGACCATGAAAGTCCACATCCCTAGTTTGGGGACCTCTACTCAAACAGAGCCATTAATGTTAACCTGTGAAAATGCTCTTATCCAAGTCCACTTCGAAGCAAAGCCCTGGTGAGTTCAATGGTTTTGAATCTATTCCCAGCAAAGTGCTATAGGAATACAGCCACATTTTTTTTTTCTGGAGATGATTTTTGGGAAAATGCAGCATTGCAAAATTAATAGAAATATCCACCCAGGGGGATAGATTTTGGTAATTTAAGCAAGAAAGTGTTAACACTAGGTGAAGCTGCACTGAAATCAAAGTACAATAGAGTCTTGCTTATCTGACATAAATGGGCCATCAGAACGTCAGATAAATGAAAACATCAGATAATACAGATAATACTGTTACCCGTCCGACGCAGCACTAGACCCCTAGAATACTAACAACAGGGACTCAAAGGGTTAAGGCAAGGCAACATCCCAGGGATAGAGTGGCCCAGCAGGAAGTGGCCCGAAGTGGAAAAGGAGTGTAGAAATCACAGAGGGAAGGTGGGAGGATGCTTCCATTTCTGGTTTCCTCTTTCCCCCTTTCCTCCCCCCCCCTCCTCCTCCTTGTCTTGCCTTTTTCACTTATTGGGAATACAGATAGAGTTGAGGAGTGGTCCTTTAATTGAAGGGAAAATGCTGGAGGAACAGGGAGGCATCGGATAAGAACGTCAGATGAAACGGAATGTCAGGTAAGCAAAGGTCGGATAAGCGAGACTCTACTATATCTCAAAATACTTGATTCCATTTACAGTGTATCTATTTTTTCCTATGTATGTAATGTCTTTGGGTAAAAGGGCATTTTACACCACTGTCATTCCCTTCTCAAATATGTGAAACAACACTTGTTCTTTCCATGCTTGTTAGCAAATATTATACTGTCCAGCCACTCAGCTAAGTGAATTTGTGTTGTGACAGTACAAAACATTCCAAACATGAGCTTACAAAAAACATTGTCATTGTACTGCCTAAATAAAATGGGTGCATGGTGGATTTTGTTCACCCTGTAGCTTTCAACACCACCCATTAACTGATTTGCAAAAGTGGGAGGAGTTCCATTCCTGTGGAGTAGAAATGAAAAGATCGCAAGA